GAGAGAGAGAGAGATCAGAGGAGGGGGGAGAGAGAGTGCAGTCTTAAAGCACATTTATACAATGAAGCAGTACAAACAGCCAGGAAGATGTATGGTGCACAGTCACCCATAGCAGCTATTCAAAGTTTATTTTTACTGAAGTCGCATTCAGTGAATAAATTACTTTGTCCGTTACTGAATATGTGCAAAGTTGTGGAACCAAGGATCAAAGTTCCACCAATAAACAAGCTCCAGAATATGAATTGCTTAAGAAAACCTGTACTAAGGTGTATGTAGGTTGTCATGACTAAAGTCCCCTTTTGTAAATGCCAGTTTCCTGGCACCAGAGCAAATATGGACTTTGCTCTGACTTAACTAGCTGCATGTTTTTTCCAGTTCAATAACTCTGACAGTATGGAGGCCAGAGACAACTAGCATCTTCAAAAGTTAGGAATGGCATCCTCCACATTCCTTTCAATACAAGTTCCCTAACCTAAAATCTTTTTCAGGTTAACAACAGAACTAAAGTGTGTTGGAAGTCCTAAAATCAATCTGAGTGTCTGTGTGGGGCCTCTTAGATATTAGCCCAGGCTGAACAGGCCTCAGCTTCTGCTCAAGTATTCCCAACGTAATTTAACATGAATGTTGTCAATTCACTTTTATATGAAGCTGTGCACATTAGAGTGGTGTCAGTTGTCTACTTGGCAAAGTAAAGGCACTTTGAATAGCGGGTACCCATATTATAATCCTGTAACACCTCAACACAGAAGTTAAGCACCATTCTGGTTTTTATACCGCCACATGATTACCTCTGTGCAGTTTATCTAAATTCAAATAAAATACATCAACTCACAGGCTTGTTTTATCCTTCACAAACATAAAAGCAAAACATTTAAACTTAAAAACCAAAAAACAATATATATATAGAATTTTTATCATACAGATGTTGAGTTTGTGGTGTCCATAGTTGTGTTTATAAAAGAGACAGCATCGGCTTGTATCTGAAATGTTTGTGCTGGGATCAGAGGCCCTGGCACTGGCTGCTCTACAGGGTTTACACTTATAGTTTGCTGAATGTGGTCAGAGACTCTGACACTTTGGCTCAAAATACTCTGAGATGGATGTGCTTGCACCTGAGTTAGCATTGCCTGCCGGTCTGTTTGTGTCAAGTGAATTTCATGTGTTCGTCCCTGCAGTTGGTCCAGTGTCTCCTTTGAGAGGGTGATGACATGCATTGGTTCCTGCAGCACAGTTTGTAGCCTGCTCTCCATTAACTCGATGTTCTGGATAGATTGCACTTGTTGCTGCTGCTGGGAGACTGACAAGCCATGCAAGGGCGTGGGCTGATGTGTGATCAGGGCAAGGTTTGTGGTTTGGTCTGTCATGCTATGAGGTTCATCAGTTGTCACAATACTAATACCTGGGCCATGACTTGACATAAAGTTCAAGTTGTGGACGCTATCTGTGACCAATAATTGGATTTCTTGCCCATTAGAAGCTGCTAGCTGGTACTGCTGCAGCTGAAGTATGGTCCTTGTTTCATCAGTGCTTGTCGGATTGTCCTGTGTCTGCTTTACTTTATTGTGAGTTTTAATGTGCGTCTTCAGGTTGTCCATGCGGGAAAACTGCAAATCACACTGTGGACAGGAGAATGGCTTCTTTCCTGTGTGCAAAATGCTGTGTCTTCTCCTGGCACTGGCATCGGTAAACGCTTTCCCACAAATGTTGCAACTGTGAGGCTTTTCACCCCTGAAAAGATAAATGTGTATATGAAAGCTACTGAAATTAGGGATGATCAAGTTGAACAGTCAAATCAATATTCCACCACAAAGAGGCTTTACACATAATACAGAGATGTTACATCTAGGTCACCGTCTGCTAACAACATCTAGTCTAGATCACGGGTGGGTCATTCATTTTCTCAAGGGATATATATGAGAAACTGGGACTGTTGTGAAAGGGCCAAACCATGAGGCTGAACTTAATTCTGCTCAGTATTAATATATATTTTAATGTTAATTTTATTCAATAGTTATTATTATAAATATATATTTCGATTAGCTGCTACTGGTAAGAATACATGTTACGATAAGGCTATGAAAATGTGGAGTATTAGCAATAAAAAAAAAAATAGTAAAAACGGCAATCATTATACTGTATCACTCTTGCATTTTATTTTTAACATACTTTTAACCTCCAGAAAAGCAACACTATTAACGCATGGTACCACGCAACGCACCTACTGTGCATTACAGTGCAGCAGGTGCATTGAGTTGACAATCCTTTGAATGGCACCCCAAGCGCACCTCCAGGCCCCAATGCGATCCACCACACAGCAATGCAAGGTACCGTAATTAAGCGTTGTGGCCAAAAAAAGTAGTGCATGCAGCGCACCTGTAATGCATGGTTAGTTGCCATGCGATGTACCCCTGATGTCTTGTTATAGGATGCCAGCGGTCCTAGCAACCAAAATCTTAAGAGGACTGCAGTCCGGACACAGACTGATCACCAACCTGCACTAGGCTATGGCTTGCCCCAGTGGATGCATAGGACTTGGAGGCTGGTGCATCCACTGTCAGCCAGCCACAACAAGCGCAGGTCGGTGAGCAGTCCGTGTGTGGACCGTGGGCCAGACAGGGACACACAAAGTGCTGTATATGGTCCGTGGGTTGTAAAATGCCCAGGTCTGGACTAAATGCTCCACAGCTGGTCCTTTAAAAGAAACCTAGACTAAGATAAATATGGAGACTGTCTCTGCCCTTTCTATTCTGAAGATGGTATTTTTATTTCAATACAGTGATGTGCTATTTGTTCAACTAACTCTGTAAATGTTGATAAATGTGCTTACTAATGATTACTAATGAGGGTGGAGTGTGGGGGTAAGAGAGTGTGTATATAAATATATACATATATATTTTTTTTTGTGTAAATTTGCCCTGATACAGACAGGACAAGTGAATGTTGCCCTGGGTCTGGAATTGTGTTACTGACAGAATCACCAGGTAAGAATAACGGAAAATAAGGTAGAAAAAGAAGCTACTATATTGGGGTTTATATATGCTATTAGCATGTTTACAAATACTTTTTTTAACACAAAAAAGGAAGGCCGAATCTAGCCCGATTCTGATAAATTCTCTGTCAGGACCTTTCTTTCTTGACTAAAAATAATGTGTATTGTTTGATTTGCTTATTTAGTACTATTGCATTCTCTCTCTACTACAGTATATGTTCATTGAACTGTTTAGAATGGTAAGGCAAGTCATGGTACAGTATCTACACTAAGCAGTGCAAAAAAAAAAAAATAGGTTGCCCTTGTTACCTTCCGCTCAAAACAAAGAGCACATGGTTTCTTATTTTTAAAAATGCAAGCTGTAAATACATTTCGGAGTTTTGGCTGCAATTTGTAAGTAAGATTATGTGACAAGCCGCCATACCTGTGTATTCTAATATGTGTCTGCAAAGAGGTTTTAGCAGTGAAAGACTTTCCACAGATCTCACATGTATATGGCCTCTCACCTGGAGAGAAAAAACAAAAACATCCACATTATTCAATACAAATACATAAACCAACCAGTTATTTCTACTTTCTGAACACAGGCATTGCAAAATGCACCTCTGACATGTTTCTGAAGAACTATGCACATATAGCAGAGTGCTAAGACAGAATAAGGCAAAAGTAGAGCTTCACAATGGAAAAACAGCTTACAATAGTACCAGTTTAGAAGGAAAAGTAAAATGTGGAGTTGTTTATTTAGAATTAACTTTAAGTGGAGCTTTGTAAATCAAAATCATGACATACTGTATATGATATAGTCTGTCACTAGCATGAACACAGAATTGTTTGTTTTTCTTGATTCTCCTTATAACATAGTTTGACCTGTCGATCCTGCTGATAGATCTGTTTTTCTGCCACTTCCTTTTACAGGGTGACAACACTTCTTGTTTTGCAGTGCAATTGCACAGCAGCATTGCCACCCTATAGACTTGGTAGATGGAAATGTAGTTTTGAATGGACTTTGGTAAGAAACAAACATATTAAAGCCTAATTCCAGCTAATATTTTTAAAGGAGAAATACTAGAAGAGTAAAATATAATCTTCTCAATACTTAGAGCTGGTGTGGGGCACGGCAGCTGTCACATGCTGGTCCTATATACTGAAAGCTGAGCAATCATGTAACCTCTGATCTCTCAGCTCATGGCTTCTCCCTGCAGGGAGCAGTCACTGTCAGTCATTGCTCCCTGTAGGGATTCTCCCCAGCCCTCTCTGGTTCTCCAGCACTCTCTGGAGGGACTGACAGGAGAGAAGGCGGGTACAGCTGGCTCTGGCTTTAGAGAGGCAGCTGGGTGGATCCTGACAATATTGTTCAGATTCTTCCTGGTTGCAGCGTGGCTCTGAACTGTCAGCAGATAGCAGGCAGTAGCCCGCTATATGCTGACTTTGGGTCACAGGAGTACACAAGGTTTATATGTATTTTTATGACCCAAAAGAGAAGTAAAGCCAAAAGCAAAGTTTGGCTTTACTTCTCTTATAAGCACTCACAGACAGGTGTTTGGTTTTTTTCAAAGCGGTTATAACTACTTTAAAACGCTGCTTTTGTAAAATCAGCTAAATACATTCAAAATAAAAGGGTGTGCACAGTCTCACAGTTTGTTTTCTTTTGAAAGCAGTTACAGCATGAGCAGAAGGGGAGTTCTCTACCAGCATGCTGCAGCGTTGGGCTCTTGTTCTCTGTTTAGTAGCAGTGGTCTTTCTGCAGAGGTCCAACACTTCCCCTGCTGGGCCAGAGATCTCTAATGAGCACAGAGCATGAGCTTTGTTGACTGCAGAGCTATAGGTCTGACTTATAGGTGCTATGGCTGCTTTCTAAAGAAAATGAACTGTAAGAATTTGCATACCTTTGTTTTGATGCACTTGCAATGTATGCCTTGGGAGCAGCTTATTTCATGACAGGCACTTCTTGCTGGAAATAATAATGTGATTTTGTAATGCTGACATATTGCCTATTGACTTATATTTATCATTAATTTAAAGCTAGCTCCACTTTAAAGAGATATTGGAAAGATATAATAGCCTTCCATAGCCACCAAGATTGATGACACGAGGCTGAATGGTTATCAGAATGCATGTCAATGGCCAGCCCAGATGCTGTAGTGCAGTTACATTTGATTAAATTACAGTTCATCTGCTGGAGGGGAGGTTAGGACCTCATCGTTCACTATACACTGACCGATGGGTTTCTTGATATTTAATAAATGCTAAGCGTTCATTCATTATCTGTTAGGTACATTTGTACATTGTCAAGTTATCCCATTACTCCACAGTGACTCATCATGTGGTATACATACAGTATTTATATAGGAATAGAACAGTACCTGTATGAGATCTTAGATGCTTTTTTAACTGTGCAGCATCCATGAATTTTCTTTGGCAGACATTGCACTCTGGTAACCCGCGGCCTTCAATAGATTGCATTAGAGAAAGAAAGAACACAAACTCAAAGTACACTTTCATTTATTTGAATCTTTATGTCTGTCACTACAGAAGGTAAACATGAATTGCCTTAAACTATCTTTCCCCTTTTGTAGCCAAACTGCAATAACACTGCTTTATATTTGTTCCCATTTGCAAAAATAAGAGGGCCTATTCACACCATAGCATTGCGTTAATCACACGATACAGTGTGATTAATGGTGGCTATTGCACAATGCACCTAGCGTGTATTACTGTGCAACAAAGATAGTCAAATAATCAGGTCTGTAAATAATATGTATCGTGGTCCCTTAGGCTTACACAGGGTTTGGGGTATCCAGCATGCCCAATAATCAAAGTCTGCTTATTACCATGGAGGAACTAAAGTCTAACTGTCATCAGTTATCCATCAACATTAAGAGAGAACTATCGCCCAACCTTGTTTGGCCATAGTTCTCTTTAGGGTCACAGGAGGAAATTTACTATGTCCTCCTGTGACCCAAAACTCAGCATATAGCAAGCTATTGCCCGCTATATCCTGACAGCGCAGAGCCGTTGCTGCGGCCGCAAAAGATCCCGACAATATTGTCAGGATTCACCCCACAACCTGATTTACAGCTGGCTCTGCCTCCAAAGAGCTCACTTCCTCCCCTGTCTGTTCCTCCAGTTAGCACTGGAGGAACGGAGAGGGGAATTCCTGCAGGGAGCGGTGACTGCAAGTTACCACTCTCTGCAGGGAGAAGATCGGGAACTGTGATTGCTCAGTTCTCTATCACTAGAGCAAATGTGTGACAGCTTCAGTGTCACACATCGGCTTTAATTATGGGGAAGAGTGTAGATCACTCTCCCCATAATTCTCCTTTAAACTAGACACAGTACTTGGCAAGTTCACGTCAACAATGGCATTAGGCAAAATCTAAGGTGATAAGCTGGCTAATAAATACTTGTATGCTTTGTCTTTATGGGCTCTTAGTGAGCAAGGTAATCATCCATTCACTCAGCATGAATACGCAGACAGGCTTTGCTCCTGTGAGCTCTTATAGACCAGCCTAGCTACACCAGTTTGACTCCACTTGTCCACAGGCAAGCAGAACATATGTTCTCAGGGACCTCAAGTGTTGGCGGACCCTTAAAAAGCATTTTTTGCTAGCCTGATCTATAATACCAGAAAGCATAATTTTGGGTTTATACTGGCAAGCACATGTAAATCAGTATGCTTTGCTTCTGTGGCTCCACAGGAATTCAACAGGTAGGTGCTCTTTGTTATGTCCACATTACCACTCTAATAGAACACAGCCCCTAACCTATACATACCAGAGTGTACTCGATAATGACTCTTCAGCTGTTTTCTCTGACTGAAAATTTTCCCACACTGGTCACACGTAAAGGATTTTTTCCCTAGTGAAATATAAATATTGATAAATAAATGCATTCACACCAAACAGTATAACAGATATATTTGCAATGAATCTAAGCAGATATTCAGGATGTTTTTACCAAATGAATAATAATTGTAAAAAAAAGGGTTGTGTTCTCTTCTTCCATAGTATTCCATTACTGTTGTTGTGGTTCAGTTGACCATGCTTTTCTACAACTAGACCCTTGTGAAATTAAACTATTTCAGTGAAAAATCCTGCTCACACTGGAGTCATGGGGACTAGTATCCATGAGAGGCGTCCCCATATCACCACCATACCAACAACAGAAAACCATTCCAGTAAACAAACATCTGGCACTGGTTGACATGTTTGACTGAATAAAGAAAGCTAGCTGAGAGCTTGCTTTGAGATCTGATTGGTTGCAATGCGTGTCTGTGACTTTCTTCTCTGCTAAAGTGCTGAGCATTCTGAGTCACCACAGTGGGTTCAAATGGTGAAGAAGCAGAAAATGAGAGGAAGTGGGCTGGGATTGGCTTCCCATCAGCATACATGACTCCTAGACAGGGACATTTCCATGTTTGCAGCAAAAAGGGGGAACCCCCTAATCTATTGGTCTGACCATGTAATTAACATCACTGACAGCAGAGCACACCCACATGGGAAAAACACTGTCCACTATGGCTCATTGTATATGTTCTTCCAAGGCTATACCTGAGCTTATGGTATCAATAGATAGACTTAGTCCTATAAGGATGGTCATTAGGCAGTCACATTCAAAGTTATCATAATGAAAAAGCTTTCTTTAAAGCTGTGAGTTTCAGGCACTCAGAGTTACAGTTCTGGCTAATTTACAGTGAAGAAGAGTTGCCGATTCTCCTCCTTCCTCTCCTTTCATCCATTCACAAAAAGCCTTATCTTCTTTTTACTGAATACAAGGCATTCTATAAATGGATGGCAAGTGTTGTGGTTTGTCACCTGCCTGTCATACAGCTATATAAATCTTTCTCTTTCTGAATAGCAGTGCTCGAAGTGATGACACAGATGGCACTGTGTGTTCTCACAATACGGATCGAAGGAATCACCAGCACTAACAGGATGCAAAATTCTTGTTAATTTTTTAATTGAACGTGCATCCCATGTATCAATCAAACCAACGATTTGGGGCCACGCAGGGCCCCTTCCACAGGGCAACATAGTGATTGGTTTACTTGACGCATGTGACGCACGCTCAATAAAAACTGAACAAGAATTTGTTAAACCAGATCTCCGCTCGTTCATTCACAGAATGCCTTGTACTTAGTGAAAAGAAGACAACAATTTTTGTGAATAGATAAAAAGGAGGAGAGGAAGGGGAAGAGTGAGCAACTCTTCTTCACTGTACACTAGCTGGAACTACCAGTCTGAGTGCCTGAACCTCAAAAGGTGACACCAGTATCAGCTAGAACAAAACTTTAGCATTTTTAGCATCACAGTGCCAGTGCCCTGGTGTAGTTTAAAAATCATTACACATAACTAATCTGGGCCAGTTGCAATTAAAACAGTACTTTTTTGCCTAGCGTTCCACTTTAAAACTGAGCACAGATTCACTTTAAAAGGTATGCTCAACAATTGTGCATTTTCTGTATGAATTTTCTCATAGAATTCATTTAATTAGAACATTTAACTTGAGCTCATACACTACTGGCAAGCCCAGTATGTGAATTGCATCTCTCTACAAACGGTCATCTCTTCCCCAAGCCCATCACCTCTCTCATCTATGACACTGTTACAATGAACTACAGACGGTGGCAAAAGTAGAAGAACATGAGTGACAGATGTGAAATGTGTAAACAAATTCCACAAATCGTCATACGCAGCTCCTAAAATGTCTTTCTTTGCATCTAGGTCAGATCCCAAAATACATTACGATAGTAGATTTACCTTCATGTAAATTCATGTGCTCCATCAATGAATTCCTCGTTGCCAGGGATTTATTGCACACAGTACAGTTATACGGTCTCTCCCCAGTGTGGGCACGTTCATGGGCCTGTAGAGAGTGTTTCTGGGAAAATCCTTTTCCGCACTCTGCACACCTAAAGGGGCGCTCACCTGAAATAAGAAACATCATCAAGAATTAAGCAGACCATACATTATACAATCTTATGGTACAAGCTCTGGACAAGTAGAGTTACCAAGACTAAGGGGTCTATTTATAAACAATTTGTTTTTGAGAAAATCTGTGAACGTGTTAATTTGGGCGAATAATGGCAAAAACGAACGTTCTTAATATATCCTCCCTTTTAGATTGTAAGCCCCCACGGGCAGGGCCCTCCTTACCATCTTGTCATGAATTGTATTGCAACTGTAATGTCTTCCTTATATTGTAAAGCGCTGCGCAAACTATTGGCGCTATATAAATCCTGTATCATAATAATATTTATTTTTCAGTTTAAATGTTTTATGATGTAATACTACATTATGGCCACTAGATTGAGCAGAGGAGCATAGGAAATAAATACGTATTTTCTATGCGTCTCAGCTTTGTCTAGTGGTAGTTTAAAACTGATTTTGGGATACTCTTTGTGGTTCTGATCCCCCTGGATGTCTACCTAGGGCCCAACACAAGCAGTCCTAGTGGGTACAGAGTAGCTTGCTTTAGTGAGGTCTCTGACCCTCAGAAAAATATAAAAGGCCCCACTACAGCAACAAACTGATGTATACCAGTGCTTCTTAAAAGTGTGGGTCGCGATCCCATATGGGGTCCCGCAAGTGAACAGGGGGGGGGTCGTGATCTGAATCCCGGCCAAGACCGCCATCAGGGGGGTACAGCCAGTACTTGTGTGAGGGACCCAGGCGGCCCGGGGAGGCCTGGGCTCCAAGCAAGATTTTTGTAATTTTCGTTTAATGTGCAGTGTAGTTGTTAAGGGCCCCCCCTCCCCCCTGTGCACTTGGTACCTTCCTGAGCACGTGAGCGAACTTTCTTTAACCCAGCAGAAGTGGAGCACAGCTGCTGGAGGTAAAGAACCACTGTAAAATAACATGGAAAACATATACATTTGAACTTCTGGGGATGCCATAGCCATTTTATTTTAGTCACAATCAGAGCAGGACAAATCACTGCCTCCAGGGAATATTATTTTTGTTTTGGATAGAGTGTCTTTATTTTTGCTGGCGATACCTTAGGGGGATCTTCCCTCACTCTCTGTCCCTGTGATGCCTGTACAGAGAAAAATAGGAGCAGTTGTCACAGGGGCAGAAAGCACAGACAGCATTAATTCTTCCCTTACGTTTTACAGTTCTGCTAAACCATTCTACTCCAAAGCTGTGAATAGGAAATAATTTGATATCCTATTGTTCTGTTCAGGACAAATCACAAACAGTTAAATAAGTCAGAAGAGGGATGCACCTTGCCCACGTCTCTACTTGAAATAACTGCATACGGAGCATTCATTTGAGAGAGACAGTGAGAAGCTAGTGCTGGGCTTTCTTACTAGAAAGCCCAGCATGCTCTGCAAACACATTATAATTTCAGCTCCTTGTATTACATTCAGAATAAGAAAATCTTTTACACAAGTAGAAAAAAAATTGATACACTTACTTTACAAATTCATTAAATTGACCAAAAACAATTGCAGTTTTATTTTCTACCTGTGTGAGTTCTCCGATGAATTGCCAAGAAATGCCTGTACTTAAACACTTTGCCACAGTCCTTACATTGGTATTCAGGACTAGACTGATTCCTTTTGCTTATATTCTGCTTTCCTGCTTCGTGTTCATCATTTTCCTCTGAAAGTCTGTAGTCTTGCAGCTTAGCAGGCCTCTGGGGTCTACGCTTGCTGTGCCTCTTAAAAAACCCTTGCCCTTCCACTGGCCTGGGGTTTAGGTCACACGTTACCTCAGCTGCATAATCCGTAATAACTTCCTCTTCGTTTAACACAGGTTCAACAAGAACACTCTTCCCATAGCTGTTTTCTGTGCTATCTTCTTCTGCCTTAGGTTGTACCACAAGGTTAACGTGCACATCTGTTTTCTCTTCTACAGGCGGTTTCTTTGGTCTTCCTCGTTTCCGCTTTGGCATATCGCCATCTGCTACGGCGGTGTCAGACGCCTCAAGATGTAGTTTGTCTTGGTTTTTGCCTTCCTCATAATCTGTGTAGGCTTTCACCAGACTGTCCACTTTTAACACGTGAGCAGAGGCCACTACTTGCTGTAGGCACTTTTCACTTGCATTCACATTTCCAGTGTAGATAAATTGAAGCAGCATTTCAAAGATCTCAGCAACCACTCCTTCCATGACATACATGGACTGTCCCACATCTCCTTCATCAGCAAACATGATAGAGAAATATTCGCTACTAGCTGCCAGTAAAGCCTTATGTGCTCGGAACTGCACACCTTCCACTATTACTGTTATGTCGCATAAGAAGTTCTTTTTCCTCTGCTCTTCTAAACAGGAGAGCACGCTGTCCATGTGAGCTCTGGACAGAATGTGAATCTGCACATCTGGTGCTGCCTCTGGCTGAGAGACGGCCACCTCTTCCATGGTTTTCAGTGGACCCTTTAAATGTAAAATACAAGCAAATTACATTTCAATTGATTTCATGAGATTATTTGCACAACATTTTTGCTGCTCATGTGCATTCCTATAGGCCCACCAATGTGATGTGTTTCCTCAATAACATATAGTAAGGCATGTGAATGAAACCTGTTCACTGTAACAATCCACTTTCACTTCTTACACCCCCACACTGAATTTGAGAATCACTCTAACTGACAGAAAGAACAACAACTCCATTTAATAGTGACGGTCAACATAGGTGGTTTGGTGGACAACCATAATCCAGCTACTTTCAGGCCACCAACTGGCGGCTGATCCCTGAACACAAATGTCTGCTTCTGCCTATGGAGAGAGGCAGGGAAGGTTTGTGATGAACAATTTCCAAAGTTGACATGTCTAAAGGAAACAATAGCAATTGGACAAGGTTTTCCAATCCATCTGATATGCAATTGTAGACTGTAGTATGTTTATAGGTACTTAGAAGTGAAGTTATTTTAAATTTTAACAGCAAATAATTTCCCAACACACTCACCAGCCAGCATGCAAAAAAACCTGTCTGACCGCTAAGGTTAAAAACAGAGGTTTTAGATACACGTCTTCTGCACTGCACTGCACTGCCTCGCCAAAGCACCTCTATATAGTGCCTACAAACCTGCACCCAAATTTATATTTTGCTACATGTGCTCCAAGATGGAGACTCTCATAGTTTAGAGTTAGGACCGCACTATATAGAGGTGCTTTGGCGAGGCAGTGCAGTGCAGTGCAGAAGACGTGTATCTAAAACCTCTGTTTTTAACCTTAGCGGTCAGACAGGTTTTTTGACATGCTGGCTGGTGAGTCTGCTGGGAAACTTTTTGCTGTTGTATTGTTTAAAGACCTTCCACGTGCACCCTGCCCTAAAGCTAGTGATAAGTTGATGAGTGCGTTTGCCATTTGTTTTGCTATTTTACATTTTAAGACACCCCAAGATGCCTACCTTTATTAACCACAATAGTGGTTGGCACTTCTCCCTTGCAGCACTGGGGGTCCCTGGTTCGATTCCTGGCCAGGTCACTATCTGCAAGGAGTTTGCATGTTCTCCCTGTGCTTGCGTGGGTTTCCTCCGGGTACTCCGGCTTCCTCCCACACTCCAAGGACATGCTGGTAGGTTAATTTGCTCCGGTCTAAAATGGCCCTCATACATATACATGTGAGATAGGGACTTTAGATTGTAAGCTCCCTGAGGGCAGGGACTGATGTGAATGTTCAGTATGTAAAGCGCTGTGTAAATTGCTATATAAATACCTGTAATAAATAAAGCTGTGCTTCTCTCAGATTTGGTTTCACAATTCAATTCAAATTGAGTCTGCTGTTCCTGAGAGTGCATGGCAGTTTCATATACCAGAGCCCTGTAGTTAAGAGGAATGTAAATAATATAATACTAAATACTGTGTTCAATAGTGTTGTGGTCCCTCAGACTACAGGTGTTATCGGCATAAGTTCATGAGGCCTCTTAGGTCTCATTCACACTGCTAAGAGCTGGCCCGTACAGATCCGTGCGGCGTGCACAGCCGTATCGGGCTGTTCCCGGGAAGGACAGGTGCTGGGTGTGATCGTACACAGCAGCCTATCCTTCTCTATGGGAGGACGTGGCCGTACACTCACCCCAACTGCACATCCGTGCGGGTGATCCATCCTGTCTGGGTACGAGTATGGACACCCGCACGGATGTGCAGCTCGGGTGAGCATACGGTCGCGTAGTCCCATAGAGAAAACAGGTTGCTGTGTACAATCACACGCAGCACCTGTCCTTCCCGGGAACGGCCTGATACGACCAAGCACGCCGCACGGATCTGTACGGGCCGACACTTAGCTGTGTGAATGAGGCCTTGAAGTGAATTAAACCCTCAGATTTTTTTACATAAACCAATACTGTAATGAGTTTAATGTCAAGAGTCATCCTTAGACAAACTAAGTACACATATATATTTTGGTAAAGATAAATCTTTCTTAGCTAAGCCTGTACAATTACAGGTTTTTTAAAACAAAATGTAAGATTCATGCAAAAGCACACCTGTGATTGGTTCTCTGAAACTGAACCTGTGCCTAGGCTATAGATGTGACAATACTTAGGTCTGGTAAATCTCAAACTAAGTAAAGAGAATGGGGGAGTAGTACTAAATACTGTATCACCCTCATTTTTCCCCCACGCTCGCAAGTCTGTAACAAAAACAGTCAGATTTAAATCTCATGTCTGTGTGGACAGCCTCATAATGAGGCCCTGTTGTAAAAGGACAAGTCATAAACTGTCAAGTGAGCAACATACCTCCGGAGTTTGTTTTCTGCCCACAAGCAAACTTTCAAACATTTTACATTTTCAAATTGAATTCAGATTTCATAACTCCTACAATAATGGAGTTACCTTCATAAAAAGTAGCTAAACTAATGTATGGGAAGATGCCAGTCAGCCCAAATACGCCTAATTAGGTGGTCCATAAGGCTAATAGGATCCAGTAGCTCCCCTAAGAGAAACATAAATCAGATCTATATCATATTTGGTATGTAACAAACTGTAATTGAATTCTGCTAATTAATATGTTGGTGATCGGATTGTGACACTTCATCAGATGGAAATATAGATATATTCAGGATAGCTGACAATAAGGGTGCGCCTGTTGAGCATTAAAAAGAACTCCCCAACACATCTCTTGGGCTCTTTGGGTGGAATTCATTTTGCAACGCCCCTTTTGCATTTGGCAGCTGGAGCCCTTGATTACCATCGAAACTACCAAGGATACTGAGAGTTATGTTTTTGAGGGCCAGTAACTCTGCGTTATCATACTGGACTTACTCTGAAAGCAATCCAAATTCTGCACTGAACCAAAGACCAAACAATACTTATAATACGTAGTTTTCATTTTTAAACCCTTTAATTTTACTGTTGCTTATGTAATATCTTTTCTGCCAATATTTTCCGCATGCTTTTCCATTTCTTTAAAACAATATTTAAAAATTGTTAATATGAATCTCTGAATGTTCTAATTAGAAGTTAAAAACGTTGCCTCTTTGAAGGGCTACTGTAGTGGAAAACTCTGTTACACTCCTGTCCGGGTGGGGAAGCGGGTAATACAGACTTTTTTCTAAAGCTCACAATTGCAAAAGTGGATGCTGTAAATGGTGGTGGCTACCATGTGTAAAGAAATACTTTAGCATTTTTGCTTGTAAATTTGAGGATGAAGTACTTGTAGCTACAGAGGCCCGTGAGAACAACTTTTAAAGCACATTTACTGCTTGCTTGGAAAATGTAAATACTTGAATGTCCACAGCCCAACCACAGATTCACGCAAATCCAACCTTTTTTTTTATTTAAAACTGGAGTTGGGAACATCATGACCACTGCCATTGAACTAAAGTGGAGCTAAATTCCACATGGGGTGGGTGGGATTACTTGCACATTATGGCATACTTACCTCCTACTGTGCCCTCCTCCAGCAATTACAGGTCTAGGCACCTGTTGCCACTTCATTCACCGCAGTAATCTTTACCGCTGTTTCTCCTGGGTCCTGTGACTTTCCTCTCCTTCCCTTGCCCTTGGACGACCACTAATGGTGTAGCTCTGGCCCATGCAAGCACTGTCTCTGGCATCAAGCTCTATTTCCAGCATCCCAAGAATTAGTAGGATGTACACATGCCAGGCAGTGTATACAGAAAAAAAAAAAAAAAAAAAAAGAAGCTTTTTAGCAAAAACCCAAAACCATATTTTTTTTTGTGATGGGACTTTAGTTCCGTTTTACTCTGTCAGTGGCCAGTCAGGTTCTCAATACACAGAGAATGGCAGTGGAGGTGGAGGTTAGCCATATAATTGGGAACGACTGGCCACACTAACAAGGTGAAACTGTAACAGAGAGTGTATGTATAAAGTCACTCGCACTCCAATAGAATTTCAAGTCAAAAACGGTTTATTGACTCGATTGCTATCACATCACATCATATCACATCACATCATATAGCATATTGGCTATATGATGTGATAGCAAATCGAGTCAATAAACCGTTTTTGACTTGAAATTCTATTGGAGTGCGAATGACTTTATACATACACTTATCTTGGATTGCAGAGGCATCTGCAGTCACTTTGGCACCCACCCGACTCTAAGGTACTATTCGGTCAGGAGTGCGATGGGTACACTGAATTTTGGACTATAACAGTGAGGGCACGGAAAGGGATTTCTGTATACACCCTACATTTTATTTTAGACCTTGGGTAGAATATATCAAAACTGGAGCAGACAGAATCTGGAGCTGTTGCCCACAGTAACCAATCAGCTTTCGCTCTTCAGTTTGTTCAGTTAAGCTTTGAAAATGAAAGCTAAAAACTGATTGGTGGTCTTGGTAACTGCTCCAGATTTTGTCTGCTCCAGTTTAGATAAATTCTCGTTATTGTATGCACATGGGGGAAAGAGGGATGCATGTGAATGTCATTTTCATGGAAATAAGAAGAACCCCTGCTAGTAATGGACAGGCGACAGGGAAACCTATGAGCCCCCAGGAGCCATTTGAAATAATGTGCTAGAATGCACAGCTTATTAGTACATTATAGCAGACTTACCTTGCAAGTGATCCCCTCCAAGTCAGCGCTTCCCAACATTGCTCCCATCTGCTCTCAGCCTTTTTTAGGGTTTGGCATCTTCTGCCTTTTGATTGGCCGGGCCAGATTGATGCAACTTCTGCGCATGTGCACAGGCATTACTTCATCTCAGCACAGAACCATGCTGAGACTGTGCAGTGATCTGCGCATATAGTGTAGACAAACTAGGACAGGCAGGGTATAACAGTTATGACAGAAGAGACATACAAAGCCTCTTCTGTCATAAAAACCCGACCTGTCAGCACAATTTTTTCTTTAAAAAGAACTTTACTTCCACTTCAAATGTTTTTATAGCTTCTCACCTGAAGCACAAGCTCCTACACTGCCTGTGTACAGATCAATCAGAACAACCCTCAGGCTGTCAGTGAAATGTCACGTTGAAATGTTACATGACAACCCCAGCACCAATGCCCCGATGTGATTACAGCATCGTGTTATGTAAGAAGACCTTATCCATCTACTCCTCAGCACTCACCTGCACACACGTTACCTTCCTAGAGGACAGCTGATGACATCACGGTCATGTGATCGCGCCTAGCTATGACAGTGGGACGTCACGTGACCACATCCCTGCGAGCGGCAGGAAGTCTTGGCTGTGTGTGTTGATATGGGAAACTCTGCAGGCTTAGATGTGTCATGTTATGAGGAGGGTGACATGTGTGATGAATAGGACCATTCTTCTCTGTAGAGGGTGCTAGCTTTATGACTGCGGTAACATAGTAACAGCAGCGCCCCGTTCGTCTTCTTTGTGCAAAAATTATGAAAAATAGCATCCATCTCATACACTGATACTGTAGTCACAATGCTATGTACATCAAGGAACGTTCTCTTTATTTATCCTTCTGGAATAGCTAGAGTGTTCTGGTTTCACTTGAAGAAAAGGTGGCAACCCTAACAGGATCTGGAGCAGTTGCCTGTGGCAAGATATTAATTCTTTAATTTTCAGTGATACCAAACTCAGGAGTTCAATCTTAAAAACACATTCAATAATACAAATGTCTTTTATTTGGGTATCACTCAGCTGTAGATCCTCAAATCATCTCTGAATTGGTGCTGACACTGTCCTTCCTTCTGGAGGGTGGCTACTTTTGTTACCCATGGTCCCTGTGTGTTGTAAAGTAGTCACCCTCCAGAAGGAAGGACAGTGTCAGCATGAATCCAGAGATGTTTTGAGGATCTACAGCTGGGCGATACACAAAAAAGATACATTTTAAAAAGGTACGTGAATGTATTTTAAAGATTTAGTGTCACTTTAACAAAAAGGTACCTTACTTGTGGGGATGTACCGATACTGGTATAATGAAAATGCCCCGATACAGAGCGCTGATACCATCGCTTTACATTTTTTAATGGGTTCGGGCTGCTTGTACAAGTGCTCCCCCCCTCCAAGGTCCACCCCTACCCTCCAAGGTCTGTCACCCCGTAGTCTGCCCCTCCCAGCCAGGTTTTCGGGCTCTACAGCTCTTCTGGGGGAGCCGACCACGGCAAGGCAATTTAGGACGGAGAGCAGAGCGGAGAACATCTGTCATCATTGACCCAAGAGAGCTGTATTAACAGCGCTTCCTGTGTCAGCTGTCACAAACCGAGATTTACAGAAGATACAGCACAATGCTGTGCTGTAGCTTCTGTATTGGACGGCAGGCTCATGAAGAGCTTGTTAGCCCTTGTGTGATATGAATAAAGTAAATGGAAAAAAAAGTAATAATAAAAATTTAAAAAGTGATAAAAAGATTAAAAAAATAAAAGAAATGCAAAATAAAAACGAAAAAAGTGATAGAAAACAACAAAATAAAAATGTAAAAAAACTAAAAGTGTTAAAAAAGTAAACTAAAATAAAAACCAACGCCGCCCCCCGCCATCTGCGTGTGAATAAATGCATGCGTGGGGCATTGTGTGTGCGCTGAGTGCTGCCCTCATTTCACTGTGTACCATATTGTGGTAGCGGGGCAGCAGTGCTCTCTAATACGCACAATGTACATTACAGGGTAAGTTCAATTTCCCAAGTAATTTGGGAAAATGGAATTACCCGCTTAAATCACAGGCAGTGCGATTTCGCACTGTTTTTTTTCCTAACTTGTGCAGAAGTCATAGCTCCATGCACAAAATGAATTGGCAGCCCCATTCATTCCTTTGGGATGGCCAAACTCCACAGGACCCAGGAGCATGTCATGGGTAGGGTCATCCCATAGGAATGAAGGGGCAATGGAGCACATGTGCAGTGTGAAGAAGAGCCAGGCATAGATTTATTTTGCGAAGGTTGTGCTGCACTGGGCACAGCAAATATAGCTGGATCGGGGCTGTAGGTAAATATGTTATACAATGGGTTTAATTCAGGGATGTGAAGTGTGAAAGCCACCTTGGCATGGACATTTGTAAAACTGTATTAATGCACAACACTATTTAATAGAGATTTATTTAAAATATACATTTAATATGTTTCCATATACATTTTATTTATTGGAAAATCACTTTTTAAATACATGTTGGATCCACATTTTTCAGTGAAAGAAAAGACTGCATCTTGAAGTCAAAATCAATAGCTCTTCTCTGAGGTTCTTTATATTTGCGAGTCATCCTGTCTCCCAGATAAGTGATCAGCTCACAGCACTCCACAAATTTCTCCATCTTCTTCCTGTACTTGTTCCGTATATAATCTGAATTGCGTGAATTGTATGCTACAAATACACAGACTCTCTTAGTAATAACATTTGGTGAAGACAACAACACATGTTCATATTTGAAAACATTGAACTTCATTTATCAAAATGTTTGAAGAAAAAAAAAAAGCTCACTTTGTTGCCAGCAGCAACCAAATGGTATTGTATTCAGATGTCAGAAAGCATCTTTTTGGTTGTCAGCGCAACACACACTAGTCTTTTTCAAAAACATTATATACAAAAAGGCCACAATTGATTATCCAAGCAGCGGGTTTATTTAACCTCCCTGGTGGTATGATTATGGAGGATTTTAGCATGCCAAAGCGGTACATTGTTTTTCATGGCAATTTGTTGTTTTATATTGTAGGCCTGTAATTCTTAGTAAATCTTAGGAATAACTCGCCTAAATCTGTCCAAACAAGAGTCCAGTAGACATCCCGGGTATGATAAAGTTTGAAACACGAAATCATAAATTATAATATAACAAATCATTTAAAAAAATTATAATACAGGGGTGTGGAATTCCTATCGCCCGACGCCCGGGACAGCCAGTTTCGGGCTCCAGGCGAGTAGTTTTTTTCTATATTTAGCCCGGCTGCGGGCAAGCAGCACAGCTGAATGTAGTGTGGGAGCCATTTTGTACAAGTGATTTTGAACGGCTGTACAGCCGTCCAAAATCACTTGTAACGAGCCTGAATCTCACTCCCTTCCCTCACTCGCTCCCCCTTCTCTATCTCCGGCGGCTGGCCGTGTACCGTTCTCAGCTGCCTCTCTCTCCGGGCTTCTTTTGCTGTGGTCTTCGCCCCCCCCTCTTGTGGGGGATTCGTGCCTACAGCAAATTAGGTTCCAGAGCATGGAGCAAGGCAGAGAATGCTTCTCTACTCGGCTCCGTGTGAATAGTGACACAGGAATGCAGCCTTCCTGTCACAGGAGAAGTAGCACCGAACAGTGCTAGAACTCCTGTGTTGGAGGTGACAGGGTCAATAAAGAGAACCTGTCACCTCCAAATGCTATCACACAAGGGTCTTGTTACTCCTTGTGTGATAGCAATAAAGTCAAGTGGAAAAAAAAAAGTAAAAAATAAAATATATATAACAATTAAACATGGAAATACATAAAAATGAAAAAAAAAATTAAAATAAAAAATATTACAAAGCAAAAAAAAATCAAAAATTAAAACCAACCCCTATCTGCATGCGAATAAACGCATGCATGGGGTGTTGTGTGTGTGCGCGCGGAGTGGGCGATCCGTTACCACACGGCAATCGTGCACAAAACCGCGTGGATGGCCGGGCAGTCACAGAAGCGCACGCCACCGCTGATCGCAGTGGCAGTGCCATTATTGTCTAATGGCACCCCAGACGCGCCAGGCAGTTTCCCGTCGCAATAACGCCCATGCAATCTTACATAATCGCGGTTGAAAACAAGACATGGTCCGTGTCGCGAAAAAAGGTACATGTAACCCCATTGAAATCAATGGGGCCACGTGGCGAACGCACACGGTCGCCCAAGTTTGCACCCGCCCCAAAGGGTAAATTCACTTTCCCGAGTAATTTGGAATTACCTGCACAAATCTCCCTCCCACTATACTTACCTTTCAGCGAACGGTCCTTCCCATCCACCAGTACGGGTGTACTATCTGTACCTGTTCCATGTATTCTGAATTTCGCTCGAAAATGCAAGCACTCGTTGGTCAGCGCGGTCACCTGACAGCACTGACCAATGAGAAGCTCTTCATGGCACTGCTAAATACGGTTTTGGTTAAAAAAAATAATTCTTTTTTTGTATCAGGACAAGTAGATTTCCATGAGGGACAAGTAGATCGGCCCCGCTTTAGTCCTTGGACAAGTAGTTTTTTTAAAAATTTCCACACCCCTGTAATATAATAATAAAAGAAATGGTCCAGTAAATGGGAATTCTGGGGGCTCTGCCTGATCCGTACCACAGTCAATAGAGTGCAGTAAAAGTGCAGGCAGGGCACTAGACAAAGCTCTAGGGACAAAATTGAAGTGAAATAGTTTGATACATAAATGTAATTACATTGTATTGTGTGTATTCTGTGTAAATGTCATGTTTGCACTTTTGAATTTCCCCCCACAGTGACGCCCGAAAACGAAACTGAATGCCGGCATCGGCCTGGCGCACACAGCAGAGGACACCGCGGACTCGCAGGGACAAGGTAAGTGACACTTTTGCACAATCCCGAGTGTGGCTCGGGGTCACTGCTCTTGGTACTGAAAATTAACCCCGAGCCACACTCGGGAATACCGCCAGGAAGGTTAATTAAAATTAAATCTCTATGCAACATAGTAACAACACGTAAGCCACCATTTCTGATTAGCTGCTATGGGTTTCTAATGCCTCACTGGAAAGTCTTGGGTGCAACATAATTGCATCCTATTATAGTGTATTGCTATATATGGTCTACCTATTAAAAATATTATAGGAGTACTATGGCCTCCCTTTAAAACATATGTGATGCAGCAATGAATTATGCATCACTAAGTGCATGCATCTGCACTTACAGTTTTCTTTTTCTCCTCAGCAAAGTGCCACAGATACCTGTTGAGCCTGCCAGTGAAGTCCACCTAATGCATCTTCCTGTATCAGGGTGGTAACAGTGCTGCATTGCTCCTGAATTCAGAGGAGTTGTCACTTGCATGTGGATTTTGCCTGTTTGCTCTACAGTAGGATGAAACAATGTTGCAGGCGTGTAGCTATCAGCACTGTCACTGCTGATTTACAAGACTGTAGCTTGTCAATCACCACCTGACCACACCTAGTCCTGCCCACTACTTTCTGAAATGAAAGCATTGCCTCTATTGCTGAAACCTTCGTACTGTGAGCTGCAGTGTCTGGGATGGGGAACGTGTGGGACACAAATGAAGGAGGACTTAGCTCTGTCACAGAAGGCAAAGAAAGTTTTTTGGTTACTTTTTGTTTAGACTGTCATACAGCAACCTTTAGTTGTACGTTAGGCTTCATCAAATGTATAATAACATAGTCCACCATCTAAGATTTGACTTACCTTTGAGGTGATAAGCAATATAAAGCAAAGCAGATCGTTTTACACTTAGAAACGGATACTTAGGCTTTAAACAGCCTACATCATTTAAAGCCTTTATTAAAGCAGTGGCTACTCCCTGGAAAGAAAAAAAGTGTAAGAATTACATCAGCAGAAAGAACTGTGCTAAGTTTGCACCATGTGTGTTTTTTATTCCTTGTCCTTTCTGCAAAAGGACCTCAGGAAAAACTAAAAAAACAAATTTAGGCATACAGTATGTTAAACCAATCCAAAACACCTCCATTAACCCTGGTCAATCTATGGTAAACCAGCTTCAGACTCAGAAGTAAGTCCATTGCAGCAAGTTTTTGGGTGCTTTCCGTGAAAACTGTCTGAATGGCTCTGTACTTAATATGGACCCATATAGACCCATCCATAGGAATAAATGGGGAACACAGCTGACACAGGGCCTGAACGGGACTGTTTTGAAGAAAAGGCTGTGCAGGAATGAAGGAAGTTTTTCCCTCGGGGAAGGTGCATAAATAAAAATGTCAGAAGGAAAGAAAAGCCCTTTACAATACATGTATAGGAAAGGAAAATAACAACAAAGTACATCAGGAAGTGTCTGAGACCGTTGTCTCAGGGAGGTACCTAATTTAACAGTGCAATCAGAATATAAAAGGCATCCACATAACAAACAAAATGTACAGAACAATAACTGATGTGTACAGACAACCAGGTCTTTATTGACTGGACCGGGGTGTATACAGGTGACCCAGTGGATTTATGGACAAGGTTTTGTAAGCTGTGTCTGACACATTCAACAGGAGGGGTGGAGGTTGGGAGAGAGGGCGGAGATGGGAGAGTGGTTAGGCAGACCATCACTTTTGAGAAGGTAGAGAGTGGAAGGATGTAGGAGCAACCCAGCAGGCAATGCAAATGGTGTGGGTGGAGGGGGGGTATATATATATAAAAGGGGAGTGGGGAGAATATGTATATATATCTAAAAGGGAAGTGGAAGGGAAATAAGGGGTGGATGGGGGGGGGTTGGAGAAGGGGCACAGGCATGTGGGAGGGAGCGGAAGAGAATGGGGAAGATGGTAACATTTTACAGTAAATTACATTTTTTATTTTTATGCAGTACAGGTATATTGCAGCAATGTTAAAATACAAAGGGAGATAATAAATGTACTATTTGCTCCCTGGTTGGAGAATGGAGGTTTGGTAGTTTTTATTTGATAATAAAGAATATTAATCCTATGAGTGTCTCAGATTAGCTTAGCTTAGCTTAGCTACTATATATAGTAAAGGCACAATGGCACATTTTACTATTGAGCAAGTACAATAATTGTCGCTGTATGTTATCATGATATGATGACAAAGTGTATGTTGCAACCAAAACCTTTTAAGAGTTTTAGATAGAGTAGAAAAGAGAAACCCCTGTCATATTTTTTGCTGTCCTGATGTGAAGATGTTCCTTCACTTCTAACTAGGGATGCACCGATACCGATACAAGCATCGGTATCGGCTGCGATACCGAGTATTTGCATGAGTACTCGTACTTGTGCAAATACTCCGATACAAAAAACGAGTACCTGTGCCGCGTCCGCCATCTTCAGGGACCCGAATCCGCCGCACACAGGACCTCCATCGCGTCTTCAATGAAGCAAGATGGCCGCAAACTCCTCCTCCAAGTCCTCAGTCATCTGCTCCATTCTGCCCTCTTCTCCCGCTGATTGGCCGATTGGATGATGACAGGCTTCCTCACCAGTCAGGAGTGACTGGTGAGGAAGCCTGTCATCATCCAATCGGCCAATCAGCGGGACAAGAGGTCAGAATGGAGCAGATGTCAGAAGTGACTGGTGGGAGATATGTTTCGCAGCGCACACCATTCCTGCAAGAGACACCGACGTTGGACCCTTTCTCCCATCTACCATCAGCGTGACCTGCCTTCACTCCAGCTGCCTCTACCATACAGTCCGTGCGGCTCCCCCACAGCCGCCGACGGCGGTCACACACGCGCTGTCCGCGCCGTAAGTACAGGAGGAGCTGTAGTAATCCCAGCATGTAACTGAACAGATGTGCCATATGTAAAAAAAAAGAGTCTGCATGACAAGGAGTGGCTTTTGAGGCAACAAAATAATGTATAACTGCTTTAACGTTGGTAGGTTTATTGTGGTAAAATGAGGCTTTAACACAGCAGAGCAGAAAAGAAAAAAAAAAAATACATCCATCCTCCTAGGACACTAGCAATAAAACGAGGCATGCTGGTAATGAGAGGGGTTATCTTGGGCTGCAGTATAACCCAAACCTGGTTACAGAGTTCCTGTGTCTCTCAATGAATAAGAAAGAAAAGATGTAGAAAACAACTATATATTCCCTTTAACCAACTGCTTTCCACAGGCCCCATACTACTGGGGGTACATATCCTCCACCTGGGTCGGCATTCCTAAAGTGAACCCGGCTCCGACGTGCGTATGCATCTCCCCACCGCCTGATCCACTCATAGGAGCCCCACACCCCGATCCCACACTTTGGGGTCTGCACATACATTAAGATACCCACCACAACTGCAGCAATCCACTGGGAACATCAGGAATTTCTACGCCCAGCATATAGGCACGGAAACAACAAAGGCCTGAGGACCACCACCTACATCCACCGCCGATGACAGCACCTCACTTATTACCTCGCGGTGAGTTACTACATTTCTATTACGGTATACTGCTTCATGCAAATACCTAACTTTAATATTCATTTCATTATTCAATGTCTTTTTTTTATATTATAACAGATGGCGATGGTTCAGTTGATGGAGCAAAATGGTTGTATGCCATTTTGCTCCATCAACTGAACCATCACCATCTGATTGCAGGAGCAACAGAAAGTGAGAGGAAATCTGTTCTGGTAGCAACTGTAGACATTTAGATTTCCCATCACTTTCTGTCACGGTGACAACGGTCACCAGGACAAACAGAGAGGAAGAATTTGCCTAGTGGGGACACCGACCGCAATGAAAACAAGACAAGGGTCCTAACCCTTCCACACACACAAAATAGAATAAAAAAGTTTTGACTATACAGACACTTTAAACTCATACTGGTGTATGATTCACCTACATTAAATAGCAGATTTTAGTTTTTATGATTAATAAAGGCACTGTTAAGAATAGAAAGGACATATAGTATTTAATGTACTACATTAAAGTATAGTAGTGAGATTTGAACCCCAATGTTACAGTAGATTGCTACCTGTTCCAGATATCCAGTTAAAGGAAGAGATGTTAGAACAATTGGCTCCATCTTTGGTGGCAGTTTAGATGGAAGTTTGTGGTTGCAATACTGTTCTGGGAGTCTAGAAACAAAAGAAGAGTAACGTTTAGTGACTGCTAGCCACTTAATCCCACTGCTGAATTTCATAGCACATTTTTGTATACTTCCTTAGCAGCTAGAAGCAAGTAGAGTTGATGATTTCAAAAGGTATAAAAAGCTTACTTGGAACTTTTTACACCTCTGGGTTTCCTTTCCCTGAAAATATACTAATAATCATTATATAATCCCAATAGAAAGGTCAGTGGGAGATGCTGTAGGCCTCACTTGACTTCACCGCACTTGTATTCCATTGAGAACTTCAGCCACGGTGAAGTCTCTCAGCCACAGTGGCAAAGGATAGCACAGCTGCAACAAAAAATAAATAAATCACAGCACCCTCTGGGGAGAAGAACCCTGCAATTCAGGTAAGTGGGTGTGTGGGTAATGTGACTATGTTTCATGACCATGAAACAGGTTCAGAAAAAAAGTAAACTTAGCCTTTAACCTGAAGCTTATTAAAGTAGTATTAAACTGTCAAACCTTTTGTTAATAATGAATCCAGATCAAACAAATATACATTGCCCAACAAAGCATTGCTTTACATTTTTGCCCAAACACTTACTATTATCATGTTTCTGAACAGCTGCTTCCAAGTCTCTCAGCTCAGCTTCCCTGAACTTCCAGTCCAGTACAAGATCACAAAGGACAGTGCAGACTCCAGCAACTGTTTATCTACTAGCTTGGTGGAGGGAGGAGAGGGGGCCAGGGGGAGGGAAATAGCTTGATTTGCTGTGTCTGTGTGTTTGTGGAGACACATATACAGCTTACTAGCACACACAAGGGTGACTGCGTAGCACTCTGCTTGAGAAAGGAGTCACTCTAAAACAGGAAGTCAGGACCAGTGCTCAGGGGACCAGCTGATTCTGCAGGAAACTAAAACTTTTAAACATCAAGGAGTAGCCTTGTAAATGACCCACTGTAAATGATTTAATCAGCATTTGGAATAGCTTAAAACCCTTTTGACTTTAATATCACTTTAATACAATACCTCATGAATTTTTGCAGCTTTTTTTCACTTTCAAAAATGTAGATTTTATCTCTGTATTCCACAGCATATTCAATGCTTCCAGGGAGAAGAGCTTCATACCTTTAAAAACATAAAGAAACATAAATAATAAAGCACATCTACTTACATGGGAACATAGAACACATAGCCTCATACTTGGACAGATATCTATAGACATAAAAAATACATAATCATTGAAAGTCAACAGGCTATAGGTCAAAACCTTCCAACCCAGCTGATATGGGTTACTGGAAAAGGACCATCAACAGTCACATTATCATCCAAACCTATTGAAATTGCAGGTAAAGGACAAAAGCTATGTACTACCGTGTTTCCCCGAAAATAAGACACTGTCTTATATCTTTTGGGGTTGCAAAAAAACACACAAGGTCTTATTTTCGGGGAAACAGGGTATGTACAGGTGTATTTACTCTTAATGGCACTATATTAGGTATATGAGAGATCAGCTGCTGCTCTAGACTGCTACAAAATTCTGAGAAGGCTAGTAGAGTGAAAACAGGCTAAGGTAATTTTTCAGAAGGTCAGAAGCAATGGGTATCACGGACCTGCAAGGGATAACAATTCTGTTATGAATTACAAACCATCGATTATCCAGAAAGTGATACATTGATGGAGTGCTTCAGAAATCATTTTTTGTTGTATCATTATAAACACTAATGTAAAGTATTTGTGTGCCAACCTTTTCTTCCCATCAACATAGGTAACTGGACAGTAGCCCTTCATTTCTGCATTTTTTGGGAATCTAGCCTTCACATCAGCCACTGTTAGTTTCTTTGGTAACATCTCAGGAGGCGGAAGCAGGCGTGGTGCTAATGGTGGAACATATAATTCCGGATCTTGTAAAAAGGCCTGTTAGAAAACACAAGCTATTAGCCATTTTGCTACCACATAACAACTCATATACTTAATATTAATGGGTATGAATGGAGTCGGGAACTATGGTGTTGGAGTATTCAGAGAGACAAGAAGCCAGCAGGTGACTCAGTTCCTTACACTCTCTATATACCTAAAATATAATTTTCCACTTTATTGTTGTCTCAATCTAATTTTAAATGTTGACTGGTATATAACTGTTTGGCTGTCTGTGAATGAGTACTGACTCTACAACCTTTCTCTACAACATTTGCTTATGTGTATTTTGTTTTAAAAACCAAATATATTTTTGGCACCTATCTGTGATGAAATCTTTCATGTGGGAGATCACACTATGTGAAAGCTTGTCAGAAGCCCATCCATCAACTTCTTGGTCAGGTGATGGTCAGGTGATCACAGGGAGACAATTTTCCTGGTCTGCCATTTGTCACCTGATAGGACTAGTAGGGACAATTCACCTTTGCTACATTGTTAGCTGCAAATGCTTTTTAAAGCATTACTAAAGTTCACTCCCATGGGGAGGGTGAGCTGTTGCCATAATGTGCAAGTATGCATACCTGCACATTATGGCACACTTACCTGACAAAGTGCCCTCCTCCAGCTATAACAGGTCCAGGCTCTACTCACTGCTCTGTCCCCCATTGCCACCATCTCCTCCACTGCTGCCTGTGGGTCCTCTGGCGCTCTGTTTTAGCCACTGGGTGGCCATGGATGATGTCCGATGTGCACAGGAGTTACATCATCCTCAACACCTCGCTCCATTCTCAGCATCCTACCGATGCCATGAATAAGCTGGTACTGTAGAGCACATGGTGCATTCCCTGGGCAGAGTACATAGAAATGTAAAAAAAAACTGCTAGTATCCAGGGGGAAAATTTTTTGGCAAAAGAGATTTAGCCAAAAAACTGTAACCGCTAGCAGTTTTTTGTTTCAGAGCTTAAGTTCTGCTTTAATATCCCAAACAAAAGCACATCAAACAGCAGTATCTCTGCATCATTTTACCCCCTAAACGTTGCTTTCAGAAATGTCTGTCTGAGATCGTACTGCCAAATTGTATTAGGCTGATGAGACTGTACATAAAAAACTGTGGAAGGAACCATACTGCTAAGTGTGATAGGGAGGACACCTATGAGCATTTGTGTTTTAGTATGAACCTACCACTGACAAAACAAAGTAGCAGAGAAAGATACCAAACTGTTTATGTCAGTCCTTCTATTTTCAGCTAATGATAGCTAGGATGGCAGCCCTTTTATAACATGTGGGTGGTAAAATTGGGTTTAAAGCAAAGTTGCTTGCACTGGGTTCTTGGCTTGGGTTGCAGGTACAAGTTGACTAAAATGCTGGTTGTGGCCAGTGTTTCAGGAACAAGATTCGGGGAGGTCTGTTGCAGGTTTGTAGAACCAGACTGACTCTCTATAGATAGCATGTACATATAAGTTTAGAGTGTAGACAGTTGTGGAAGAAAGCTGGATAACTATGTATCCTGTGTACAAACATGAATTTACAGTATATTAATTAATTTTTGCAATACAGTACTGTGTGGCCATGAAATCTATGTTCATAGGTGGAGGTACAATAAAGCAGCCTAAGTAACCATTCTACTGAAATCTGGCTCTGACCCTTACCTGCATTTAAAATCAGTTTCATATAACACTTTTATACAAACAGCAGCAGCACTAGAGACTTGCATGATTTTGAATAAACATAAATAGACAGTATACTGGTTGTATGTATATACGTGAAAATACAGCCTGCAGTAACTTTCTGTCAAATAATCATAGAGGTATGATAAAATAAATTCAACTTACAGATAGTTCATGCTGTGAAGCCATCTTGTAGTAGTGTCCACGGAATTCAGCTGCAAACTGCAGGGATGATGTTACCGAACAATCGACAAGCTCTCCTCTTTGTGCCAGGCTTACAGGACAGTATTGTCCAAACTCTCCCAGGCGAGACACCAGCTCTTGGTGGGTGATGCAGAAATCAGCAATAGCAGCTGCTTTACCTGTTCAAGTCACAACAAAATGCACACTCAAAATATGTGTTTACCTGTACTCAATTAATAAAGACCAATTATTTAAGAAACACAAAATACATTAACATTAGAATAAAGCACACACAAAAAAAATAGATAGGAACAGTGAGGTGATTTTATTAGAACTATAAGGTGAAAATGGTACCCGTTATTGACTGATCTTTATTTTATTGACTATGAAACCCCTATCCATAACCAACCTCATACCAGTAAGGCATTTTAAAGGAGAACTATGAGGCGAGTGCTTTTCACTCACCTCATAGTTCTAGCCGACTTGTGACAATGAGACTGTCACAGGTTGGCTTAGTAGATCGGGAGGTGAGCGAACACATACCGGCGTTCGCTCACCTCTCGATCCTGTCACGGCTCTCTGCCGTGACAGGGGAGGGGCTGGATTCCCCCGTCCCCGCTCCGATCCGCCAGGCTGACTGGCGGAACGGACGGGGGAGGGGGCGGGTACAACTGGCTCTGCCTCTAGATAGGCAGAGCCAGCTGTCAGTCACGCAGCTGGGCAGATCCAGACATAATTGTCGGGATACGCTTCAGCTACTGCTCGCGGTATACTGCGGCGTCTCAGTATACCGGGAGCTGCAGCTTGCGGTATACTGAGCCTAGGGTGACGGGAGGACGCTATTTTGTGTCCTCCCGTTCCCCTAAGGAGAACTATGGGGAAAAGCCTTAACCCCATAGTTCTCCTTTAAGTCTCAAGGGCATGTCTTGTACAATGCTAGTATGCACAGCCTGCAGGTACTTGGAGTCAGAAATGATACAAATGTCTGAGCTGCCTAGAGAAGCAGGTGAGTGATCCATATTTGTGGAAGCAGCTCAGCTTTGTTTGCCCTGTGCTACAGCCTAACTAAAGGTAGCTGTTATGTGGGCATAAAAGAAAGCATGTGTGTACATGAGGCCTTAAACTGGCATCTTGTTTAGTGTCTCTGTATATTGTTACCAGAGAATTTAGATTAACAAAGCTCTTTTTTTAACCATAATCTACATCAATGTGAATCTGGCCATACATATTAGATAATGCATAGAGGGTCTCAAATATGAAATGTGTTACTGAAAAGGAGTCTCTATATTTCCCCTAGCATCCCAACATCTTCTCTGTTTCTATTGCTGCTGCAGGTTAGAACATGCAAGGGAGAACTGATTGGTTAACAGGATATAAAAAACAACTTATTCCATCAGGCACCTCATACTAAGGCCTAAATTAAGGATATGATTGCCCAAAGAACACACTTTTGCTCCCAATAAATTACATACACACACACACAAACACACGCTTGTATTAGTTTAGAGTACACTTTGATTCACCTGTTTCTTTGTAATGTGAAATGAGAATGGAATTTGCTGATGAGCTGTGCCAAGGGGCAAATGTGACATTTAAAACCTGATTTTTGACATACCGTATAGACTAAATGTGTACAGCTGACTGTCTTCCTTTTACAATGAATAGTTTTACAGGTGTTGGGATATTTTCATACCTTCCATTGTTCTTTCCATGTAGGTTTGCACTTGATTGATGCTTACCCGGACTTCTTCAACAATTTGATTTGACACCCACCATTTGCTCCGTGTGGCATCTACTTCACACCAGTTTTGATGTTGCATCACATAATATTCCTTAATACGTTGGATCTCCTGCTTATAATTGGAGTTTCGCACAGTTAATATCTGTGCACTGTCATGTACAGGGTACGGCCTATCAGAGAAAAAAAAGAAAAGAACCGCAATCAGCAAGTGATGGTGGTAAATCATTACAATTCAGCACTAGAATACAGAAACATGCAAAATGTTAAAGAAAACCTGCACTGAGAGAAATAAAGTGGCTGTCACTGCTGATCTTCTTCTGAAAACACAAGTTACTTGATAGTTTCATATATGTTTTAGTCATATATATTTGCATGTAAATAAGTGAACAGAAGTTTCTAAATTAAATTGCTTCTGGAGTTGAGCCACCAACTGCAGAGAAATGTCGGGTACATACAGAGGGAGAGCTTGCCCCCTCCAGACTGTTTGATCCCAAAATGCCCAAGCAGACGCACTCCGATGAGGTCAACCACTCTAAGCCCGTGTAGGGGCAGTGCAGAATGGTTTGAAGACAAATAAAGTTGTTTTTAAGATGTGATCTCTTCGGTGTGCAGCTGCGTGGGCATTTTGGGATGGAATTTGCAGTTACTCTGCTTTTTACAACATGTTGAATTGTTAGTAATCATGGGATTCTCCGATAGATGAAATAGAATTAGAAAATAAAATAAGTAGTTAAATGTTGAATAT